GTGTTTTGGGCCGAAAATCTGGTTTTTCTATTTTGGCTATACGACTTAATCCTTGTTTGTTTTATGGTGGCCAGAGAAAGGGGACAAAATTGCTGGTTTTCTGTTCGAGCCTATTCAGGGGGAGGCAGGGGTACGTGTGCTTTTCAGAATTGAGTTAATTGTATAGATTTTGATTTAACTTTGCATACCTTCTAGAAAGTTCTGTATGAGCGAAATGCTTTAAATCGTTTGAGGCTTTTTTGACGATGCTTCTGTTACATTTTCCTAAGGTAATTATTCCACCTGATGGTTATTTGCAAGCTGTAAGAGAACTTTGCTCGAAATATAATGTTCTAATGATTGCTGATGAAATACAAAGTGGGTTAGCACGTTCCGGAAGAATCTTGGCTTGTGACTGGGAAAACGTTCGCCCTGACATTGTAGTAAGCACATGTCATTCATCTGATTTTCGATGTTTTTTTTTTTCACATTTTTCAATACGATCCCCTGAATAATTTTTTTTAAAATTAATATTTGATTCCTTAATTCTGTGCAGATACTGGGAAAAGCACTTGGTGGTGGAGTATTGCCTGTTAGTGCAATTCTTTCAGACAAAGATGTTATGCTCTGTATACAGCCCGGAGAACATGGGAGGTTATTATATTATTATTATTATTATTATTATTATTATTATTATTATTATTATTATTATTATTATTATTATTATTATTATTATTATTATTATTTTGGAGGCCTATCCCAAGAACATAATTTTACCCATTTTTCTATATATATTTATTTAGTTCCTACTGAGAGGTCCACTAGCAATCAATATTAAGGGTGTGTTTGGATATTATATATCTGCTTAAAACGATTTTTTTTTTTAAAAAAAAAAAAACCAGGGAAAATTTAAAGGTGTTATAGTTAGCTGTCAGTGAGTTTTTGGTTTAAATTGAAATAATATTTAAAATAAAAGAATTAAAGTGGATTTGATATAAAAGTATGAGATAAATGATAAGAAGTGATTGTTAGTTACAATTATGTGAGTTGGTGAATATTGAATTAAAGTTGATGTGATGTGTAAAAATGATTGGTTGATATTATTTAATTATGTTGATAATATTGAGGATAGTGATGATGAGTTAAAGTAGAATTGGATTTTGAGTATGAATTGAGTTTATTCATATACAAAAACACCCTAACTTGGGTAATTGGTATTGAACTTTTTTGCAGCACTTTTGGAGGGAACCCTTTGGCCAGTGCAGTTGCCATTGCATCACTAGACGTGATCATAAACGAGAAACTTGCCGAAAGGTACGAAATCCCATTACATTAATTATACACCTTAGAAGATAACAATAATAATTTTGCAAGATTGTTACATAGAATAATTTCAATGTTTTCTCCATAGATCCGACCAACTCGGAGAAGAACTCAGGCGACAACTCATGAGGATACAAAAGCAATTTCCTGAGCTCGTAAAGGAGGTAAGAGGTAAAGGATTGTTCAATGCTGTGGAGCTCAACGGGAAAGCCTTGGCACCCGTGACCGCATATGATATATGCCTCAAGCTCAAAGAGAGAGGGATTCTTGCTAAACCGACACATAATTCTATTGTTCGTTTAACCCCTCCTCTAACAATAAGGTATAGTCATAGTACTTCATTACTCCTGTAATTTCCATTAATTCATATGTATTTTTGTTTTGTTGCATTTTTAGTACTGCTGGTTTAACGTCATAGCAATTTTTAGTCCCAGGTTTCTAACATTTTGCTTGTTGCTCCTGTTATTTAATATTTTGGTGCAATTTCAGTCCTTGAAAGACTGAAGATTGTAGCAAAATATTAACTCACACGACCAAAGGCAAAAAGTTGAAATCTTGACACTAAAATGGCTATGGCGTTAATCCAACGCGACTAAAAATGCATTTTTTTTATTATTATTATTTAGTTAATTACAAAAATGTGTCTTTGACATTTGACTACATAAAAGCTAAGGGTTTTTTTTTTTTTTTTTGAATTACGAAAAAATACTCTTGAGATGTAAACCAAATGTGTGCTAACTGCTAACTTTTCATGGAACTCACTTGGATTTAAATGTGACAATAGTTTCTAAATCATTCTTGAAATAGTAGTTAACTTCCAACTTTTATTTATTTATTTACCAGCCTGGATGAGCTTCAAGAAGGCTCAAAAGCACTACACGATGTGTTGGAACACGATCTCTCGAAGATGAAGAAAGAGAAGCCAAATGCACCGTCTCACGATACGGATTCAAATGCATGCGACCGATGTGGGCGTAACCTGTACGACTCTTCTTAATTATATTGATTAAATGAATTAGATTTTAAAATAAACAACTTTTATCCAGTTTCTTCTAATAAGGATAGCTGGTGACCAGCTTTTTTTGTTAAGTTGATCTACTTGATGCCCAAACTGCATTTGCTCATACATACATATATATACATATAGATATCGGTTTTGAGACGTGATCATGGTTCTATCGTCTAAATTTCGGTTTATATACTTTATAAATTGCACCCTATATGAGGTAAGCTTGCAGGGATATATTTTTTATTTAGAAGAAAAACGAGTATGGTGGTTTTTTCGTCATCTCGATATCTATTTAGACGAATGAAAGCATAAGTCACAAAGACTTGTATGAAAACGAAAACCTAAGAGCCAATTTGGATTGGCTTAAAACTGTAATAAAATAGTTGAAGAATGTTTCAAGAGAATGAGATATAGGACCTAACTTAGGTCCTATATCAAGAAAGTAGTACCATTTAATTGCCAAGAAAGTAGTACCATTTATGATTAAAAAAAAAAAA